CCAGACGACGGAGGGGAAAAAACACCCCCCCAGTTGTTCAAAGGCCCAAGTCCGGAGAAGAGAACGGGCCACTCCGCGCGGGAGAAGCGCACACATCCCGGCGAGGAAACCCATGTCCACCTAAAGCTCCTCGACGTGTGACAGCTCCACACGACAAAAGCCTGTCGCCAAGTCCTCCTCCCTGCCTTCTGAGCGGGCCGGGAGGGCCGGGGAGGGGGGCCTCCCCGAGCCGCCCCCTATACCCGAGTGGTGGAGTGGGGATGGGGGAGCGTGTTGTTGTGGCTGGTAGCGGTGGGGGGAGGCGGGGGGAAGGGCCCAAAGGGATGGAGGGAGGGGGGCGGCGGGGGAGGGGGTGGCCCCAGGCCGCTGGGCAGCAGGGTCAGGGCCCCGGGGGCCAAGAGAGGCACATCGTCCGGCGCCCGGCGCAGGGCCAGGGTGTAGTCGGGCGGGCAGGCGGGGCGCAGGGCCTCCGCAGGGTCCGCCCCGACGCCCCCGCCCCGCTTCAGCTGCAGCGACACCAGCTCCTCCTCGGGTGGCAGCTCACGGCCGGCCGCAGGGAGCAGGGGGCCCCCGCCGGGCACGCCGGAGCCCGAGCCGCCGGGGGGGCTGAGCCGCCTGCACCGCAGCTCCTGCCGCCGGTCCCGCTTGTAGTAGAGGGCGGCGAAGGCAAGGATGTTGAGGAAGAGGAGGGAGGCGCCCACGGCCACGGTGACGCTGAGCTCCGTGGAGTAGTCTCGGGAGTCCCCGGGGAAGCGGTCGTAGGCCCGGGGGCCCGTCTCGGGCTCGGGCTCGGGCGGCAGGGTGGCCGGAGGCGGCGGGCGGCGAGTGCCGGGGGCACCAGGGGGCGGGCGCGGCGGCCAGCGCGTGGCGTAGGGAGGGAGGCGCGTGGTGGTGGTGAAGAGCTCCGTGTGCAGGCTGTGCAGGTGCGGCACGAGCTCCAGCCAGAAGGCCACCTTGTTGGCGCGGTAGTTGTCGCGCACGCGCGGCTTCAAGCCGATGTGCAGGTACTGCTTCTCCTTGCTGTTGAACTTGCTCCACACCACCTCCTCGAAGCGGTTGGGCTTGGTGTGGATAAACTTGGTGTCCTGTGGCACCGGCTGGTTGGGGTCGCTGTGGACACAGGGGGGCAGGGAAAGGAGGAGTAAGGGTTAGGCTCCCATGAAAGGCGGGGGTGGGGGCGTGCTATGGGAGGAATGGGGAGAGAGATGGACAGAG